GTGGGAGAAGAAGTAAGTTGTCGATAAAATCGTGTATTTGTTCGAGATTGTTCATTTTTTCGGCGATTGAGGATAGAGATGAAGAAGATGTGGTGGGGAAGTTATCGGATTTTAGTGCTTGTAAATGGTGTTCGAATTCGGGGATTAGAGGGTAATAAGGTCTCGAAGGCATGCTAGAAGAACGCTTATGGCTTAGGATTATCGACTTCATCGTGATTTGCTGCTAGCTAGGATTTTACTTACTTTTTTCTTTTCTTGATGATGATGTGAAGTGTACTTTTCGGGAGTGTCGTGCTTTTATATACGATGAAGATGATGGGAGAGGCAGAGCTAACATTAAATGTTTTTGAGATTGTAATAAAAATATAGTCAGATCTAAGGGTAATTATGAAGGGAGAGGAAGCTAACGTCTAAAGGTGTTCACGGGTGCTTGAGATCTCTGCTTCATTTTCCACACGTTTTGGATCAAACTAAACTAAAATAAATTTGTCTTAAATTTACTAATCTATAGTTTGTTTCACTTTCGGACTTCATCTTCATGCTAAGTTTCATTAATTTTCACATCGTTTATTATAATCCAAGTTGCGTTTTTCTTAGCATAACTGCACATGCTAAGATGGTGTTTCGAAAAAGGCACCACCATTATTACATCATGTGCTCGACTTTTTGATTGGTGAATATTATAATACTCGCCCCAAAAAAATTACTGCTTGATAACCTCCAATTAACACCGTCATATTAAATTAAACGAGTCTGGCTCGGCTCGACTCATTAAGGATCGAGCTCCTGTCGGCTCGATTGATAAACGAGCCGATCTCTAGCTAATTCAAAGCTCGTTTGTGCTCGGCTCGAAAATATAAATTTTTATATTTTGGCTCGTTAAAACTCGATCGGCTCGAACTCCGCTTGTTATGAGTGGTAAACAAGACGAGCTCGACTCGACTCGGCTAATTAAGGGCTCGAGCTCGAGCACCCTAAGCTGGAGCTCGGCTTGTTTACAGGCCTACCGTTATTACGACAAGTTTTCTCAACTTTCGGACACTATTATTAATACGTCACGTTGGCTCAACTTCTGGAAAGATAGATTATTTCAGTCGTAAAATTCGAATCACTTGGAAAACTCAGACTAGATTTGAATTCGAGAAACATATCACATGGAAGATAGAAACCAAAAATTATTTCTATGTTTTCCTTACAGACTACAGAACTTTTAGGATCAAAAAGGCAAAATTTGTATTAAATTTAAATAAAACCTACTACATGTTTTTAACGTACCGCCATTACTACAGCATGTGCTCAAATTTTTTTTTATATATATATATACACTAGTACAACGCTCGTGTATTACACGGGTGCATGCTAATTTTTTTCTTAAAATCTAAAATTAATGAGAAAAAATAGTTGAAAATTTATATATACCTTTTACAAAAATATATACATTATTATATATTTAGTATGACACTTTTTATTTGTGCGACTTACCTGTGTTATATTATAATAATTTTTTAACTTACAACATATAACTACATTAAACATAAACATATCAATTGATAAATAATTTTATTTTTCTAATGAATTTTAATAAATATTATTATTTTTTATTATTATAAAGATAAATATAATTTATTTATTTCATATATACAATATGGATGTTAAATCAAAGATCATCAAAAGATAATTAATTAATATGTAATATATGTAAAACCGATAAGAAATAAAAAAGTTATCAACTTTTAAAATACATTTACAATTCAATAGCTAATTGAAGGAAGCAAATCAAAATAAATGATATATTAGTCACTTAGTGTCTCAATATGTAAAATTACAAAGAATTAAAGAGTTATATTAGTACAAGTAATATTAAAATACCTAAGTTAGATAAATAATATTTATGGAATGTCCTAACCTAGATTATTAATTATTAATATATCAATATTATTTGTCAAAACCTAATTACGAAGCATGATTTTTTGCCAAGTAGGATTCCGAAGCACCAGAAGCAGCCACGTAGGCTCAGCGCATTCGAAAATTATATATAGGGAGGATATGACTCTGCATATATAACTACTTTTTGTCACCATAATTGTAACATGTTCCCCTCAATTTTTGCTTCATTAATGCCAACACAAAAGGCAAAAATTTGTACTTAATTTGATTTTTCACCTGATTGGTTGGAGTATTGATAGCTCAATATTAGTGAGATAGGAAAGTTCCTACTTCCTAGCAGTTGTACTAATCCTGGTTTCTATGAAATTTTCAAAATTCGAACGTGAAAATGAAACAGAGTTTAGTATTGCAACTTGGCCTGAATTAAACAGTGCCTTTTCTTTTGTGATAAACTGTCTAAACCAATTGCTGATTAATTCAAATTCGTTAAGTTAAGATGTTAGATAGACCTAACGGTTAGTCATACTGATTTTCAACGGATATGCATACTATCAGACGAGTGTCACACTGTAAACATTTCATCATAGCATATATAAGTGTGTATTTTTATTAAAAAGTATGACCGGTACTCGACAAGTCCAATAGTTAGACCGCCTAGGCTCACACGAGAATTTGATATCCAAATTATGTGTGTGCAATTTCTACTGGTATAGGCTTGAGTGTTTTAGGATCTGCATTAAGTTTTCACATGTTAGATCAAACATAAAAGTCATAGTTAGTTTTATTTTGCTTTGGATGAAAAAGGTGTGAGATTCTTCACATTTAATGAAACCCGCCTGAAAAGTTGGGATCTTTACACATCAAACTAATTAATTAACACTTCAAGACGGATTAGAGAAAATAATCATGACAACTTTACATGTCAGTATTTAGTTTAGTGTTTACTTTGTGGGATGAGATTGTCTGAAATAGTGGGACACGCAAATATGTAAAAGAAATGTTGGGATAAAAGGGGAATGACTATTTAATCAGCCAATATCTAATAAGCAGTGGGGCCCACAATATACATGTGCACCAAGTGGGTTCAATCTCATCCTAATCCAGGAGAGCAAACAGTGCATAAGAAGTGATAATTTTTCATTATCCAGTCTCATCTCGCAAAGTAAACGACGCCCAAGTGGATAGATATATTTGGTTAAAAAAACAAATAGATATATACATTCTTGGGTGAAATTAAACTTCCCCTAAAAATATGAAAAAAAAAAAAACTCAAGACATTATGATTTAGATGAGATCCAAATAATTTACCCTATCGTGTTATTGTTTGGAAAAGCATACCTCATGAGAGCTTTCACACAAACCACAATTATTCTAACTTTTTACCACCAGTAAATATTTAGCTTATTTTGATATGATAATTGGCTGATTAGCTCATTTAGTATTCGATCGTGTGAATATGCACATATGCAAATAAAATTTTATATATTATATGAGTCTGTATGTAAAAGTTAAAATCATAAGTTAGATATGATCATATCACATTTTATATATTTTAGCATTAGTAAAAGTAATCAATACATATATTAATTATTTATCTTATATATTAATTTTTATATTGATACCAATAATATAATTTTTGCAATCTTGGTTGATTATGACTAATTAAATAAAAAACTAGAATTATTATTATAGTGTGAGACTTTTTTTTTTTTTTTTTTTTGGTACAAAGGAAGGAGGCAAGAGCCTAAAACGTCAGACAATTATATTCTGCGGGTAAGCAACGCCAATGAAATCATGCTGTAGCCATGATTTAACTGCCGATGGTGAGCTAATAGTCGTTGATAACCACTAGGATAGTGGTGAGCTAGAGTCGCCAAACAGTCGGCTGCAAAGTTGGCTTCTCTATAACAATGATTCACACTGACCTCCCATTCTCTACTAAGAAGTTCCAGGATTGCCCGAACCAAGCTGTCATGAGTGCCTAGGTTGTCTGTCGAACTCCCTTTCGCCATATTCACCACGCTTATACTGTCTACTTCACAGGCTAGCGACAAACCTTGGAAAAGACACCATAACTCCGCTCCGGTGATGGAGCAATACCCAATATTCATCACAAACCCCCCAAGCCATCGTCCATCGGCATGACGAGCCAAGCCCCCTGCAGATGCCATCCCAGTCGAAGTCAAAAGTGAGCCATCCGTGTTGATTTTGACAGCTCCACCCCCAGGAGCTTCCCACCGAATGAAATAGACTCCACGGCCCGCACGAAAACCGCCCAGGTGGTTCTTGATGGATTCGGTGAGTTGGATTCCATGAACAAAGGAGCGAACTACCCGAATTTTATTAGCAACGACGAATTCTTTGTCGGAGAAAATCTTTTCATTTCTACCTCTCCATATTTGCCTCACCGTGACACCAAAAATCGTTTCCCATCCAACGACTCCAATAGTTCACTCATCAAGATTCCTGACAAATAGAAACAAACACAAAAGGCAAAATTTGTCACTAACATGTGAGATTCAGGATATCCTTTGATTAAATTTAATTAATCCGTTTGATAACTAAGAATCTGGACAGCTCAAATTATCTGTAAGGTCAAAGCTCGAGAGCTAATTGGAACATGCATGAAACTGAAATTTATTTTGGGTTCTGTATTTTTTGTTTGTTCAATTACCAACTTAAAACATAGTTTTATGGTTGGATTGGATTGTGATTGTCACATTAAAATCCAACCATTACTAATTTAATCAAAATTTAGTAAATCTTCATTTTAATTCTAATTTTCAGCAATAATTACTAGGAAAACATGCACAATTACTGGCAACCAATTGCAAATTTGGAGCTTTGGACTAAAATTGCCACAATAATACTGAATCACAAAAAAGGGGACAAATAATATTTTACATTTTGTCTGCAGTACACTTCAAATTGTCGTACCCATATTTACAAACTTTAATTTGAGCAGAAAAAAACTTCCCACAAGAACTAATTCCCATTTCAGCCCCCAAAAGAATTCTTGTGAGAACCAAACTGCAAAAACTATCTGTCGAGACCCAAGAAAAAAAAAAAAAAAAATCTACTGAAACTATCTTCCGTTGACCATCAGCCATTGACTAGTACAACTGGCTCTGCATGTTAAGCAGTGAAACTCTCGACTTAATCAAAAGTTTGAACAAACACTCCAATCTTTCCTCAATAACTGTAATAACCAACTCCATCTTCCTCAACTGTTGCTGCAAATCCTCGATTTTCGAGCTCGTCTCGCATTTGCTAACGAATTTACTCAATGAAGCATCCAAATCTCCAAACTCGAGCATCGAGCTCTTGTACTCGTGCTCGTGGCACGAAACTTTTCTCGACCCCATAATCTTCGAAACTAGAGACCATTTACTTAATCTCGAACTGCCTTTCGAACAAGAAATGCTCGACAAAAGCTTCTCGATCAAGTCTAAAGTAATCGACTCGGCCTCCTTCAAAATGCCGATGATTGCAATTGTTTCTTGATCTTTGTCCCCTGTTTTTAAAACAGAGGAGTTACTTTTATAGCTCCCCATTTTTCTCAACGATTTTTGTATATGCTTTTTGATCATCTTTCTTGAGGAGATTTACTCGGAAAGATCTTCCGAGCCGCGCTTTCGCCTGAGGACTGAAAGGAGATTAGAAACGTGATCTTTTGATTGGGAGATGAAATCTTTAGCCATGGCACAAGCGTCCACTAGGCCGAGATATCCGTCCAAGATTTGTTCGACCCATTTTTCGTGCCTTTCTCTGGTGAAAATTTGGTGGGTATGTGGGAGAAGAAGTAAGTTGTCGATAAAATCGTGTATTTGTTCGAGATTGTCCATTTTTTCGGCGACTGAGGACAGAGATGAAGAAGACGGGGTGGGGAAATTATCGGGTTTTATTTTTTGCAAATGGAGTTCGAATTCGGGGATTAGAGGGTAATAAGGTCTCGAAGGCATGCTAGAAGAACGCGTGTGGCTTAGGATTATCGACTTCATCGTGATATGCTGCTAGCTAGGATTTTAGTTACTTTTTCTTTTCTTGATGTTGTGAAGTGTACAATCGGGAGTGTCAGTGCTTTTATATACGATGAAGATGATGGGAAAGGTAGCTAACATTAAATGCTTTTGGGATTGTAATGAATTCAAGGTCAGATCTAAGTACATTACAAAAAAATAAATAAAAAATAAAAAATAAAAAAAATAATAATAATAAAATGAATTCTGTTTAAACGTGGTCAATAATCAGTAGTGCATGCAGTTATCTCAAGTTTTGAGTAATAAATGAAGTGTAATTATGATCCTTCCAAGTCTAAAGGTGGTCACGGGTAGTGTTTGAGATCTACATCATTTTTCACACGTTTGGATAAAATGCAAAAAAAAAAAAAAAAATAATAATAATAATAATAATTAAAAAAAATAAAAATAAATAAATAAATAAAGTGAAATTTATCTTAATTACCACATATATATAATTATAATCCAAGATGCGTTTTCTTAGGATAATGCACATGCTAAGATTGTGTTTCCAAAAAGGCATCCACCATTAATAGGAAGGGAGAGAGAGAGGCAGCTAAGATTATTAATGTTATCTCAACTTTTGGGTAATAATGAACAGTGTTTATGATCCTACCTCGTCTAAAGAAAGAACGTGAAATTTGTGTTAATTGCTATAGTTTCACTTTCGGACTTCATCTTCATGCTAAGTTTCATTAATCATCACATCGTTTACTATAATCTAATTATTTGCGTGTTTCTTAGCGTAACTGCACATGCTAAGATGGTGTTTCGAAAAAGGCACTGCCATTATTACAGCCATGTGCTCAACTTTTTGATACCGAAAAAATGACCGCTTGATAAGATTAACAACGTTATTTACTGTTGTTAAATTAAAAGAGTCTGTCTCGACTCGACTCGGCTCGAGTTCTCGAGCTCATTCAAACGAACGAGCCGAGCTCGGTTCGCATCAAGCTCGGCTCGTTAAGGCTCGAGATCTCGAACTCATGATCCAAAGCATGTTTGTTTAGCTCTGGTTGATAAGGTTCGAAAAGAGAAATTTTTATATAATCGTCTGGAACTCAGCTCGTTAAAACTCGAGATCGTCTCGAACTCAGCTCGTTATGAGTGATAAATGAGTCGAGCTCGAGCTCGATTAAGGGCTACATTGAAGTGAACTAGTTCGCGCTGACGAAAATCTTGAGGGAAGATGATTATTCCAGTGATCGAATTCGAATCATTTGGAAACTCAGACCGCTAAGCAGGTAGATTTGAATTCAAGAAATATTTTGTTGAAGTAATATGAACACACTATATATAGTATATATCACATGGAACATGAAACCAAAAATTATTTCTATGTAACATGTATAACTACTTTTTGTCACCATAAATGTAACATGTTCCCCTCAATTTCTGCTTCATGAATGCCAACACAAAAGGCAAAACTAATTGTACTTAATTTGATTTTCCACCTGATTAGTTGGAGTAATGACAGCTTAATATTAGTGAGCTGGGAAAGTTCCTAGCCGTTGTACTATTAATCCTGGTTTCTAGAACAAATTTATCAAGTGCAAATTTTTAAACTTGCAACTTGCCCTGAATTAAACAGTGCCTTTTCTGTTGGGATAAACTGTCTGAGCCAATTAATCGATGCATGTTCTCTCAACTCTTGGCCGATTAACCCAAATTCGTTGAAAGTCAGCTATTAGATAGACCTAACGGTTAGACATACTGATTTTTTTATTACCTGCATTAGACAAAAGTACGAAATTTCATCTTAGCACAAGTATGCAGTACTTTTATTAAAAAAAGTATGCCTGGTACTCGACAAGCCTAATCGTCGTTAGGCAGTCTTACAAAAGAATTTTGATATCCAAATTATGTCTACGCAATTTCTACTGGTATAGGCTTGAGACTTGAGTGTTCTAGGATCTGAATTAACTTTTCACACATGTTAGATCAAACATAAAAGTCATAGTTTGTTTTTATTGAACCATTTATTATTTCCCCTTTGGATGAAAAAAGTTACTAATGTACTATGAGATTCCTTACATTTAATGAAGTTATGAAACTCACCTGAAAAGTTGGAACCTTTACACATCAAACTGAATTAATTAACACCTTCAATTGGATAGATGCATAAGTTCTTGGGTGCAATTAAACTTCCCCTAAAAATATGAAAAAAAAAAAGGAAAAAAAAAAATTGACCCAAAAAAAGGGCTTTGTGAAGCCCAAATTACAAAAGAATCTTGTGAGATTAAAAAGTTCACCTAAAAACAAATTAAAAATGGCAAAAATCTCTAGCTTATTATGTGACTGAACTTCAATCAGATCGATTGTCATCAGCTAGACTTCCTTCAACATTCGAACCATGGCAATGGTTTCTTTATCATCATTGCTCCTCGATAAACCCAACAATTTTTTTTTTTCTTTTCAAAACACGAATATTTCTCAACGACGACTTTCTTATATATTCTTCTTTTCGATTTTTCGAGAGGAGATGAGGTCAGAAAGTTCATCAGTGGCTCGTTTTCACCGGAGGATAGAAAGAATGTTTAGAATGCTTTCTTTCGAATGCGCGACGAAATCTTTAGTTGTGGCACAAATGTTCACTAGCTCGAGATATCCCTCCGAGATAAGAGGGTATGGTTTTAACAAGGACATGCTAAAGGAAAGAGTTATCCAATTCAATATATTTTTTATCGTATCAATACTCGTTAATTTCACTATATATCTAACGAAATCCACACGAAATGCAAATTATACTTGCAAAAAATATTGAATCACAAAAAACGGGACAAAGAATATTTTACATTTTGTCTGCAGTACACTTCATATTGTCGTACTCATATTTACAAACTTTAATCTCAAAACCAGAAATTTGAGCAGAAGAAAACTTCCTACAAGAACTAAATCCCATTTCAGCCCCCTAAAGTGTGAAAATACAACTTCTAATGGGACCAAAAGTGGAAAAAAAATTCTTGTGAGATCCAAACTGCAAAAACTATTCGCCGAGACTAAAGGAAAAAACAAATCTAGTGTGACAAAAACTATCTCAAGTTGACCATCAGCCGTTGACTAGTACAACTGGCTCTGCATGTTAAGCAGTGAAACTCTCGACTTAATCAAAAGTTTGAACAAACACTCCAATCTTTCCTCAATAACTATAATAACCAACTCCATCTTCCTCAACTGTTGCTGCAAATCCTCGATTTTCAAGCCCGTCTCACATTTACTAACGAATTTACTCAATGAAGCATCCAAATCTCCGAACTCGAGCATCGAGCTCTTGTACTCGTGCTCATGGCAAGAAACTTTTCTCGATCCCATAATCTTCGAAAGTGACCATTTACTTAGCTTCGAACCTTCTTTCGAACGAGAAATGCCCGACAAAAGTTCCTCGATCAAATCTAAAGTTATCGACTCAGCCTCCTTCAACATGCCGATGATTGCACTTGTTTCTTGATCCTTCTCCCCTGTTTTTAAAACAGAGGAGTCCTTTTTGTAGCTACCGATATTTCTCAACGATTTTGTTATTTGCTTCTTAATCGTCTTTCTTGAGGAGATGAACTCGGAAAGATCTTCCGAGCCTCGCTTTCGCCTGAGGACCGAAAGGAGATTCGAAATGTAATCTTTTGACTGGGAGATGAAATCTTTAGCAGTGGCACAAGCGTCCACTAGGCCGAGATATCCGTCCAAGATTTGTTCGACCCATTTTTTGTGGCTTTCTCGGGTGAAAATTTGGTGGGTATGTGGGAGAAGAAGTAAGTTGTCGATAAAATCGTGAATTTGTTCGAGATTGTTAAGTTTTTCGGCGATTGAGGATAGATATGAAGAAGTGGTGGGGAAGTTATCGGATTTTAGTGCTTGTAAATGGTGTTCGAATTCGGGGATTAGAGGGTAATAAGGTCTCGAAGGCATGCTAGAAGAACGCTTATGGCTTAGGATTATCGACTTCATCGTGATTTGCTAGCTAGGATTTTACTTACTTTTTCTTTTGTTGATGATGATGTGAAGTGTACTTTTCGGGAGGGTCGTGCTTTTATATACGATGAAGATGATGGGAGAGGCAGAGCTAACATTAAATGCTTATGGGATTGTAATGAATTCAAGGTCAGATCTAAGTACATTACATAAAAAATAAAAAATAAAAAATAAAAAAAAATAATAATAATAAAATGAGTTCTGTTTAAACGTGGTCAATAATCAGTAGTGCATGCAGTTATCTCAACTTTTGAGTAATAAATGAAGTGTAATTATGATCCTTCCAAGTCTAAAGGTGGTCACGGGTAGTGTTTGAGATCTCCATCATTTTTTCACACGTTTGGATAAAATGCACAGTATCCTCAATGTCGATATAATTAAATAACGCAAGAAAGTCGAGATGAAGTTCAATTGAGGTTTCATTCCAAAATTAATTAGTGGAAGGAGGAGTAGCTTATGAGACTTATAAATTAGATTTATGTTCCATAGATAAACGACGTGAGACAACTCACAAGTAAATATTCTAATAACTATTCATCCATTTGCATAATTCTAATTAACAACCACTTCACATCATCTCTCTCATACTTTTACATCACAACAACTTTAATTATTTTATTTTAAATATTATTTTAATATAAATTCAAAATCTCACTATCAACTAACTATTCTACTTTTATCAGAATTAATGAAACCAAACCAAAAAAAATCCGAACAAAATTGAAATATTTTTTTAGGGTGTGACAAATTCATTGTCAGATCTAAGTAGACATGGCCAAGGGCGGCCTGGCCCGTGGCCCGACCCATGACCCGGTACCGGACCGGCCCGGCCCGATACCGGTACCGGCATGAACAGTGCCGGGTTCGAGAACTGGACCGCGGCCAATTCGGTCCGGTTAAGGGTCACGGTTTTTTTTTGTCCCGGCGGGTCGGGCCGGGCCGGGCCAATTTTTTTGTTTTTTTTTAAGGGCAGTACCGGCCCGTGAACCGCCGGACCGGTGAACCGGTGGTTAGAACCGGCCCTTCGTTCCTAGCGGGCCGGTCGCGGTTCGGCTGTTTGAGGGCCCGTGGCCCGGCGGGCCGGGCCGGGCCGGGCCCGAACCCGGCACCTGACCACGTCTAGATCTAAGTGTAACTATGAAGGGAGAGGCAGCTAAGATTATTAATGTTATCTCAACTTTTGAGTAATAATGAACAGTATTTATGATCCTACCTCGTCTAAAGGTGGTCACGTGTAGTGTTTGAGATCTGTATCATTTTCCACACGTTTGGATCAAACTAAACTAAAAAAAAAAAAAAAAAAAGTGTGAAATTTGTCTTAATTTACTAATTCTGTAGTTTCACTTTCGGACTACATCTTCATGCTATGTTTCTTTAATTCTCACATCATTTATTATAATAATCTAATTTGCCTGTTTCTTAACGTAACTGCACATGCTAAGATGGTGTTCCCAAAAAGGCACCACCATTATTACATCATGTGCTCGATCGACTTTTTGATTGGTGAATATTGTATTACTCTCCCCTCCAAAAAAAATTACCGCTAAATTAAAAAAAAATTACCGCACCGTTATTTAATGATGTTAAATTAAACTAGTTTGACTCGCCTTGGCTGAAACTCAGCTCGAGTTTTTGAGCTTATTCAAAGCTCGTTTGTTTAATGAGCTGAACTCGGTTCAGTTCAAGCTCGTTTTTTGTAATTCAATTCGTTAAAACTCGTTATCTTCTCGAACTTTGTTGGTAAATGAGCCGACCGCTGATGATAATTTTGAGGGAAGATGATTATTTCAGTCATCGAATTCGAATCATTTGGAAACTCAAACCTCTAAGCAGCTAGATTTGAATTCCAATGGTGGGGAAAAAAAAAAAAAAAAAGGATTATACTTATAAAAAATTAAAATAAATCCACTTCATGGCTTTAACGTACTGCAATTACTACATCATGTGCTCAAATTTAATACTACATAAATACTTTTTGTCACCATAATTGTAACATGTTCCCTCAGTGCTAAAACAAAAGGCAACAATTAGTTAGAGTAATGACAGCTCAATATCAGTGAGCTGGGAAAGTTCCTAGCCGTTGTACTATTATTAATCCTGGTTTCTAGAAGAAATTTATCAAGTGAAATTTTTGAATTTGCAACTTGCCCTGAATTTTAATTGTTGCATGTTCTCTCAACTCTTGGCTGATTAATCAAAATTCATTAAGTCGGCTATTAGATAGACTTAACGGTTAGACATATTGATTTTTTATTACCCGAATTACACAAAAATACGAGATTTCATCTTAGCATAAGTATGCAGTTTATTAAAAATTATGTCTGGTACTCGGCAAGCCTAACCTAAGACAGTCTCACACGAGAATTTTGATATCCAAATTATGTCTACGCAATTTCTACTGGTATAGGCTCGAGTGTTTTAGGATCTGAGTTAAATAAAAGTCATAGTTTGTTTTTATTGAGCCATTTATTATTTCCCGTTTGGATGAAAAAAAGGTATGAGATTCCTTACATTTATGAAAAAAGGTATGAGTTAATAGCACTTTTTGTCCCCGAAAAAAAAAAATGGTGAGACAAAAAATGACCCAAAAAAATGGCTTTGTGAAGCCCAATTTACAAAAAAATCTTGTGAGATTAAATTTACCTAAAAACAAAAAATGGCAAAAATTTCTAGCTTATGTGACTATACTTCCATCAGATCGATTGTCATCGGCTCGACTTCCTTCAACATTCGAACGATGACAATGGTTTCTTTATCACCATTGCTCGTCAATAAACCCGACAATTTTTATTTTTTTTTTTAAAATACGAATATTTCTCAACGACGACTTTCTTATATATTCTTCTTTTCGATTTTTCGTGAGGAGATGAGCTCGGAAAGTTCGTCGGAGGCTCGTTTTCGCCGAATAGAATGTTTAGAATTTTTTTTTAATGCGTGACGAAATCTTTCGCCGTGGCACAAATGATCACTGGCTCGAGATATCACTCCGAGATTTCGCCGAACCATTTTTCGTGGCTTTTTTTTTCGGGTAAAAAACTCGATAGGTATGTGGTGAAAGGAGTTAATTGTCGGCATAGCCGAATAGTTCTACGATATTGCGTAGATTTTTGGCGATCAATGGTAAGGATATTGAAGAAATTGTTGGTTGAATTGAGAGGTAAAGAGGGTATGGTTTTAACAAAGACATGCTAAAGGAAAGAGTTATCCAATTTAATATATTTTTTTATCGTATTAATACTCATTTCACCATCTAAATAAAAAAAAACATACGAAATGCAAAAATTATGCTTGCAAAAAATATTGAATCACAAAAAAAGGACAAAGTATATTTTACATTTTGTCTGCAGTACACTTCAAATTGTCGTACTCACATTTACAAACTTTAATCTCGTATGGGACCAAGAGCGAAAAAAAAAAAAAATCTTATGAGACCCAAACTGCAAAAACTATCTGTCGAGACTAAGAAAAAAAAAATTACTGTGACAAAAACTATCTTCGTTTGACCATCGGCCATTGACTAGTACAACTGGCTCTGCATGTTAAGCAGTGCAACTCTTGACTTAATCAAACGTTTGAACAAACACTCCAATCTTTCCTCAATAACTGTAATAACCAACTCCATCTTCCTCAACTGTCGCTGCAAATTCTCGATTTTCGAGCCCGTCTCGCCTTTACTAACGAATTTACTCAATGAAATATCCAAATCTTCAAACCCGAGCATCGAACTCTTATGCTCGCGGCATGAAACTTTTCTCGATCCCATAATCTTCGAAACTAGTGACCATTTACTTAGCCTCGAACTTTCATTCGAACGAGAAATGCTCGACAAAAGCTCCTTGAACAAGTCTAAAGTTATCGACTCGGCTTCCTTCAACCTGCTGATGGTTGCATTTGTTTCTTGATCTTTGTCCCCTGTTTCTAAAACAGAGAAGTTCTTTTTATAGCTCCCGATTTTTCTCAATGATTTTTGTATTTGCTTCTTGATCGTCTTTCTTGAGGAGATGAACTCAGAAAGATCTTCCGAGCAGCGCTTTCGCCTTAGGACCGAGAGGAGGTTCGAAATGTAATCTTTCGATTGGGAGATGAAATCTTTAGTCGTGGCACAAGCGTCCACTAGGCCGAGATATCCGTCCAAGATTTGTTCGACCCATTTTTCGTGCCTTTCTCGGGTGAAAATTTGGTGGGTGTGTGGGAGAAGAAGTAAGTTGTCGATAAAATCGTGTATTTGTTCGAGATTGTTCATCTTTTCGGCGATTGAGGGTAGAGATGAAGAAGAAGAAGAAGAGGTGGGGAAATTATCGGATTTTATTTTTTGCAAACGGAGTTCGAATTCGGGGATTAGAGGGTAATAAGGTCTCGAAGGCATGCTAGAAGAACGCTTATGGCTTAGGATTATCGACTTCATCGTGATTTGCTGCTAGCTAGGATTTTTAGTTACTTTTTCTTTTCTTGATGATGATGTGAAGTGTACTTGCGGGTGTGTCCTGCTTTTATATACAATGAAGATGAAGGGAGAGGCTGAGCTAACATTAAATGCTTTTTAGAGTGTAATAAATTCATGGTCAGATCGAAGTACATCATTAATGTATGCTTCAGATCTCTGGATTAAAA